TCAGATGGCCGAATGGTGGCCATTTTTGTGCTGAAAAATCATCAAAATTAGGCATTTATGGATGGATTTTGTTCAAACTTTGGTACATATGTTAAACATTATGGAACCTTGATGCACGTTATTTTGTTTTTCAGATAGGATTTTATTTCAATGAATGCAGTTCTAATGCCATGCTTTGACTGATTATGTTCAAATTTGATATATTCATTATAGATCATGTCATAGATATACAAATATATTTGTTTAACTATCTGATACAAAATGGTCAAATGACGGCCATTTTTGTGCTGAAAATCATCTAAATCAAGCATTTATGGATGCACATAATTTTATTTTCCAAATCTGATTCAAAAGTTATTGACCCTTTGAACATTTTTTCCCGCTCAAAATGGTGTAGATTGTTTCACATTTTCTGTAATTTTCACTGAATTCAATTTTAATTTTGGACCAAACAGACAAAATTTCACATTGCTTCGATCCAAAAATTTGAAATTTTTGCAAAATTTTATGTGGGAAATAAGCAAACTACAAATAGAACTAGTTTTATGAATGATGCATGAAGTAGACTTTGGCCCTTAAATAGTTAAAAACAATTTCACTTGAAAATTTATAACAATGTAGAACTTGACTGAACAATGCAGACTTTTAAGAATATAGTGAATGAATTCAGCAAGATAATCTATGATAGATACGTCAAAATGCTAGTCATAACATTATTCAAATCAAAATTATTTTCATTTTTAAAAATAAAAAAATTATTTTCTGCATTGAGTAATTATATAATTCTTCCAATTAAATAATGTGTGAAGCTCTCATTACAAACCTTTGTATTTTACTTTTTTGGCTAAATCTTTCACTTTTCACCTCAAAGCTCAAAATCAGTGAAAATAAAACACTTCTAACAACACAGACAAAGTAACAGAAATATGTGAAATAAAAGCTGAAAAGCAAACAGAGTTAAATGCTAGATTTAAAGCAAGCGTGAATATTACGTGAATTATTTGAAAGTCGGTGTCTAAAATTTGAAGGATTCAACTGTTAATAGGTTTTCTGATGAATGTGCAATAACAGTTACATGCCCATCCACCCATTCTTTGAATTAGGTAGTCTGGGAGGTGAGCTTTGAACAAGGCCATTGTTCTTTTAGTTTCGTGAGATGTTGCATCGATTATAAGAAATCATCCAGTTGAAGGAAGAAAGTGTTAAAACCATAGTTATGATGAGCAATCCAGCAAATGACGATTGAAAATTTTGACCTTGAGTGAGGCAAACAAGGAAATTAATACCGTATAAATGTGACGAATGGATGGGTAGAAAGCTTAAAAGCAATGACAATTTCTGTTTTGCAAGTAAGTCAACATAGCCAGCTTGTTAGATGACAGTTATGGCATCGTCTCACACACAACAAACAGAGAGTACTAGTAGTCATTCTTGTACATTAAATTTAAGGTTATAATTTCTGTAGTGTCTGTCCATGCTTACTGACTAGAATGCCTGCATTTCAATATCAGTAGCGGGTTGTATCCTATTATAGATCAGAGCACTCTCTGTTTCTTCTAACAATAGACATATATGTCATCATATTATTGGAAGAGAAACAGACGGGTGAAGGGGTGTCTTTTATATGCGGAATACTG